GAGAAGGAGGATTTGGCACTGTGAGGGTGGGATAGGCTCCAGGGCGCTTTGCCACACTTGTCACTTTGCTGACTAGATGCTGGAGACTGGCGGAGGTGGAACTTTCAACCTAAATTAATCGCAGAAGCGACACAGTTTAAACACGGTACTGCATTGAGGTTAGGCAGGTACTTAATCAATTAGTGAGTGCCCCAATGCCCCAATTGAATGAATAATACCCAACACCTCCCATCTCCAGAGCGGCCTACTTTCTAGAATCTACACTATTTTCTTCTTCCCGGCTTCACCGTCGACCAACATTACTTCCACCCGTCTTCTCCCTATTCGAATCAATGGATGGATGATGAATGCATACATAAATCTTCCGCTACTCATATTTTCCTGTCGATAAGCTTTACATGCATACATCTGTATCTATGTAGGTAGGTATGTAAGTACATAGTTCCTTGGCACATTGCAAGATTGAAATCCGCCTCAACGTCACAGAAACGTCTTACACGATGGGATGTCATCCATGGATATGAGGCTGTGAGGATTGTGTGTGTAATAAGCGGCGCCGAGATGTGCCATCTCTGATTCTCTCAGGGGCATGTTACTTTTCCACAAATCAATCCTACACCCGTAGGCTAGCTACCACTGCTGATGTTGCTGATGCTGTTGCTCATGTTGCTACCTCTGTTGCAACTGTTGCTGCTGCTGCGGAGAAGAACCCGCCACTGCGCCGTCATTCTATCCTTTGACGTGTCATTGGCAGCCGATATTACCCATCACAGTACACCATCGACATGGGATGGAACGATGGAACTCAACCCAGATGTCATACTGGATTGCCCGGGCTTGTTCGCACTCACAATAATACACAGCCTGAGCAGCAAAAAGGCTTTACAGGTCCCTCGACATAATATTTATACAATCTGAAGTTATGTACATTATGTACATACTTAAGGTAATATTCCGCCTTCCCATAATGGTCTCATCCATCCGAATTGCTCGCCGCCGCCAACTCGTGTGATCCGTCATTCGTCATTCGTCATCCCGTCATCCATCATCCATCCATCAGTCAAGATCTGACTCTCTTCCAATGTCTCTACTACCCACAAATATTCTCTCCAGGTCCCTTACAAGTTACCTACGTCCAATGTCTGCATACCTAGGTACACATAGCACTTACAAACGTACTTATTGCTATGTTACGTACTGCCTATGTAGGTAAACACATCGTGAAAAGTATAAGACAGACAGACAGACAGACAGACAGACAGACAGACAGACAGACAGACAGACAGAAACATAGGTATGCAACTGACTCGAACGTGTTGGTGTTTATTACCAAAAAGGTACCGCGGTGGCAAAACAAATAAAAAGACTTCAAGCTCGATACGCCAAAAAGGTACCAAAAAAGGGGGGGTCTCCATCCCATCCAGATGATCCAACACAGCCAACCCATCAAACAACATCAGACAACGGGACACTTCGGGATAGAGAACTTGTCACGTTCTTTGGCCCCAAGCCTCAATGGTAGGCATTCTCGACTTGTATCGGCTGCATCTTACTTTCTCCGGCATGTCCAAGATCATGTAAGTAATATCTACCTACCTAGGAAGTGGACCCGACCTCAGTCCTGGCCTCTTGTTCACTCCCGACCTGACCAGCGTTGCGTCAACTGACGACGTTTCCGGTTGACGGCATTGGTAAATTCTAAAAGACCTGCGTACCGGTACGCAGACTGGCAGAGTATCACACCACACCCAGAAGCCACTCGAGACCCTGAAAATCCGCAAGTCCGCTGCCCATGCCCATGCATGATGCAGCCGAGAAACGAAAGCCCCTCCCATCCGTCGCCCATTTCAGGGCAAATGCCGCGATACTTTTCAGATCCTTGTGGTTGACATATCCTCACTCTGGTTGGTACGAGGTTAGGTATACCGTATCTACATGCCTCTAGAAGTATTACTACTGGAGGGCAGGTACACTCACTAGAACCGCCTGAACTGTCCTGTTCTGTCGGTTTATCCGCTGACGAGAGGTGCCGCCAGGATACTTACATCTTACCCAATGACGGTGCTCTGTCCGTACAATTATGATATCCGCCTCTGTCTTTTCCTCTCTTTTTCTATTTCTTCTACCCCTCTATTTGTCTATCTTACTCTCGACAAGAACTCGCCAAAATAGATGTCATTCTGGGGGTGGCGAGAGGACTGGAGGATTAGATTACCACTCCTACGCCCACTCTTCGAATGACGGATCTGACTGAACAGCTGAAATACGACATATCAGACATTCATAACGAAGCGTTCAGATACCTAGATACGTACTTAAAGGTAGGCATACCTATTTCTTATATATGTAGGTATGAAGTCGGAAGAAGTTATGAAATAATCTGAAGCATCTCGTGCGACCATTTGGCCATCGAATTGACCCCCCTCACTTTTCGTTTGCCAACTACATCGAAATGTAGTCTAGTAACCAAACCTCGGCTGCCTCATCATGAAACCACGCGCTGCTGCGGAATGATGTCGTCTCAATCCTTGGGCTGTGCGCTGTGCCTCTCATCAGCCTTGCCGATCCATCCTCCTGTTGCCATAGCGCATCCTTTCCACCGGAATTGGTATATTAAGCCGTAATCGTCTGGACGTAAGGGGACTCCAAATCCGAACGCAAATCCGATCCAGCACAGCACAAAGGGAGGAGGACACGCTGATATATAGGGAGTCGTCTCAACGAGGATTAAACAGAGGCCGAATGGTGATCTTGTCTTCGTGATCCCGTTGGGTGCAATTGAATCCAAACTTGCAGCCCCTCTTCTACGCTCTATGCATATCCGACTACATGTCAGGTGGTTCCCTGTCGGCATCGCGCAATGGCTGCTGCAAATCTAACATATGTCTTATCTCTGAATCTTCCCTTTACCAACCCATCTGTCCGGGACTCTGGTGCAATGACGCCTCGCACTATTGCACAAACGCTCATCATGAACGCCATGGTCGGTCTTCAGAGTCAGGTATGTAATCTTGGTACCGTGAATATCTAGTTATATGCCGCGGTTGAAGACAACCATCCCTCCCTCGCCGCCGCGACCGTGAAACTGGTCTTCGAGCCGATCCGCACTGATCTTCTGTCGCTGCGGGAAAGCGGCGAGCGCGAAGGGCAACGCCAGGTAGCTCATTCCCAGGATCAGGCCCAGGTTGATGGGCAGCGTGTATCGGGGATTCTTCCGGAGCCACTCGGTCCTCTGCAGGCGAACCAGTACCAAAGGCGGGACTACCATGATGGGACTGCTGTTCAGGACCCGGCTCAGCGCCGTCTCGCTGACCGCCAGTGTCGCCGCCTTGCGGCTCCGGCCCAGGCTCGGCACCTCGCTCTCGGCCTTGCCCTCTGACGCCAGCCTCGCCCTATCCTTGTCCGAGAGCACGGGGTACACATCGATACCGGTGCGCATCTCCTCGCTCCGCATCAGAAGCACGTTCAGGAAACCGGCCGACGCAACGGCGGCGAAGGGGACCAGGCGGCCCAGGATCAGCTTGGTCGAGGGGGAGAAGCGTTTCAGGCGAGGGACGAGGGAATTCAGCCCGACGGCTACCGAACAGGATGCGCCGACGGCGAGGAAGTAGGACTGCGCCATCTTGGAGTAGGAGAGCGGCGTTGACTTATTGGCGTTCGCATTGTTGATGGCGACGTTAAGGGATTGGTTCGTGATCTGCCATAGGATCGTGCCTGTCGTCTGAAAGAGTACAATAGATTAGCATGCCGGTCTGTTCATATGCTGAAGGGGGAGGAAAGGAGGGTGAGAGACGGCGAGCAGCCCACCTCCCAGGCTAGGTGCCCAGGTAGGTGACTAAACTTACCTTCAGACCAGGTGTAAGCATCCCTGCCGTGACTACCAGATTGGAGAGGGCAAAACATGACATCCGAAAGGGGAGCAGGACTGGCTCGCCGGTGTCTAGGGCCTATCAGTGGGGGGGGGACATCTCTCTGGCGACGAGGAGGCGTGTTGCTCGCATACCCGGGTGTAATGTAGAATCGACGATCTTCTTGGCCTTCCATAGGTCTGGTGTCATCTCCCTGATCTCCCCCTGCTTGTATGCCACCACCAGATTCTTCGCATCCTCGAGGCCTTTCTTTCCGGCGAGAAGGGTTCTGCGATTGCGTATGGGTATTAGCCATTAAATGCCTGGAATTACCATCTCGTTATTCTGCTGCCAGCTCCAACCTAGGTAAGTAGGCATTGTCGACCAAGTGGCAACAGCGGAGTGATGCCTTCCTCTCCCTTCTCCCTCATCTTACCTCGGATCTGTGATATTGGCGGTGTGTCGGACACGGCCCCAATAGGTACTCAAATCATATTGTGATTCCGGCAGCTCTCGGGATCCTGGTAGAGCCGCAGACATGGTCTAAACGTCGAACAGACGGCGGCGCGTCCCTCGTACAGGCACATACACACGCACGAGAGCGCAATGCGGCGTAAAGAATGGTGTAAAGCAGGGAGCGAACGAACGAACGCCGAACAATCAGCTGAAAAAGGGGAGAGAGTTCTCGATCAAGACAACTCAACTATCTCGCATCTTTCTTGGCCACCCGACGACACAGCAATTGCGGTGTAGATTTCCCGCAATGGATGTTTTCAGTGCCGGTTATTACCGCGACTCGTTGCAGGAAGACGATAGATAAACTGTTGTACTTACCAACTGCACTACCCAAATAGATGGACCGACATCGGCCGTGTCAACGCCGGAATGCAGATTAATTACGTAAGCTAAGCACCTGAGTACTTGGTACATCGGGTATGTACCTAGGTACTTCTTACGTCGGGCCAAGCCCACAGAAAAAAGAAAAGAAGGAATGAGAGGAGATAAAACACGAATCTGTAAAAACAGCAAGTCTAGACAAAATACGGAGTAGTCTGTCCAAAGCTGATCTACAGAGGGAGGAGTATTTTGACCCTCAAGATCCCAGAATACTAATGCTTGCTTGATCACAGAGAGATGATCAAAAAAAGATGTCGATTCGGACGGGATTCGAACCCGCAATCTCCAGAGAGTAACAACCAGCACAAGGACTGGGAGTTTCGATTTCGTGGCCGAAATCTGGCGCGATACCATTTCGCCACCGAACCGACCGACTTGAATAGACTGAATAAGCTCCGGAGCTGATTCGTTGGTTGAAGAATTTCTTAAGGGACCCTATATTGCAAGATCATGCATCAGCAGACAATCCGGGCCGATTTAGTCAAGTATTCGTCAGCCTTGCACGGTTAAGGGAGCCCCCCCCCCCTTGAGTTTGTGGCTCGGCATTAGGGTTGAACCATACCCTCGGTAGCCAAATGGAATTCGAGTCAGCGACACCACACACGCATGTAGCACATCACACTCAATATCTCTTTTTCGTGAAAGGCCCAAAGGTACGCCGGAAAAAGTTGATCAAGGTATCTAGGTAGGTAGGTTAGGTCGTAAGGCACAGGATAAGCTATTCTTAGCTGTCACTTCTATGGATGAACGCATCATGGATGACTCGTATCTAGTCAGCCAGCCAGCTTTCCCCATCTTGTTATGCTTCCTAGGTAAGAGAACACAGGAGAATAGGCCTAATGACCAGGGCGCCGATCTTTATTCAGAGAGCACCTGGCACAACATGCCAGCATGCTGATATATCCATCACAGAAGACTCACGTGCAGTATTTCGGGGGCTGACCTGTAGTCCACATTACCCGTGAAACCTGCTATTAACTAACCCCTGATCGGAACCTACATCCAAAAGTCCTGCTCTCCCCTCAGCATACCCGTGGCTTGTCTACCCATCTGTCCAGTCAAGATGGTCGACTTCCCCCGCTTCAGGAATTGTCCATCTCCCTTCGCCCCCACGACGCCCTCACCGTCCCTATCCCAAGCCAATTTCCCCCTCAGGAATACCCACCGCGGCCAGTTTCGGACCTCTATGCCCTCGAATGGCGTGTAGTCGATCCGGTGATGAAGATTGGCGTTCTGGATCGTGATCTTCCGCTTCGAACTACCTTCGCCGTGGCTTCCACTCAAGCTCACGGGGCCGTCTGCTTCCGACTGAGCTACCAGCGGGGGCTCTTCGGGGTACCAGATAACAATATCGGCGTCGTAACCAGGTAAGATACTTCCTTTCCGGTCACCGAGCCCGTATAGTTTAGCCGGGTTCGAGGAGGTGACCTCGACAAACCGGGGGAGGGAGATCCTGATCTTGTCGTCACGGCTCGGCACAGCCGGATCAAACGTTCTGTCGAACATCAACGGCAGACGTGTCTCCATCCCGGGCAGTCCGTTCGGAACCACTGAAGGACTCGAGAGTCAGTATTTGCATGGTCTCATTCCGAGTCATCCCTTGAGAGTTTTGGTTCATGTCTTGATGAAAAGAATAGATGTGATCATTCCCTCCAGTGACATTGAAGAAAGAGACGGGAAACGGGGAAAAGAAGAGAAGCAAAACCAGCTCCAGTAATTTACTAACCTCTAAAGTCCTGCTTATCACCGTTCTCACCCTGAATGAGCCCCTTTTTCTTCCCACACGGATGATCATGGGTGCTTGGCGCGTGGTCGGACGACACCACAGTGAACGTCCCATTCGCTAGGCTACGCCAGATGGCCTCGAGATCTTTCGCGTCGTGACGCAGCTACGAGTCATCGTCAGCTTACACGCCACGGTCTTGTCTAAACTCAAAAAAAAGGTAGAGAGGCGGGAGACTGGTGCGTACGGGTGGCGCGCAGATATATTTAGCCCCTTCGAAGTCCTCGGGCCCCGACCTTAGTCGCTCGCTGTGCAGGTACAAGTAGTGCGGGCAGGTTTCTGCGTGGATGGGCAGGAGTCGGCCCTGCGCGTCCCAAACATGCTGGATCGCCGTCGGGGCCGACATGTGCACTATCAGGATCGGGGTGTCCGTCACCTCGGCGAGACTGATGGCCCGGTACGTCGCCTCACTTTCCGCGATCTGAGGCCGAGCAACGGAATGGAAAAACGTGTCTGTGTTTCCTTGCTTCGCGAGCCGTCTAATCCAGGCATTAGCATGTATGCTCTGTGATTATCAGAGAGAAAGAGGGATCTGTTAGTCGACGAACTTGGTAATCTGCTCAATCATATCGTTGTTTTCGGCATGGATCATGGTAGTTATGCCCAGGCTCCGTGCTTTCATCATGATGTTGAAAAGATCCCCGTCCCCGAGCTTCATGGGTTCGTAGGTCATGTATAGCTTCACGCTCGAGATGCCTTCCTTCTCCGCGAGCTGAGGCAGTTCCTCTTCCAACACCGTCTCGTTGGGATTGGTCAGTATAAGATGAAAGCCATAGTCACAGTATGAGTTGCCCTTGGCTTTGGCGTGGTAGGCTTCCAGGGCAGGCCATATGCTCTCCTCCGTCCTTTTCTGGCTTGCGAAGGCGATGACCGTGGTGTTGCCCCCGGCAATCGCTGAACGAGAACCGGTTTCCCACGTATCTCCTGTTGGCGAATTGTCTTGTTGAATATCTGTAATGGTTTTCATGAGTTTGACTGTCAAGTTGCCCTGAGAAGGACACACTCACGAACGTGAGAGTCGACCCCCCTACGGTTCAATCGAGTCAGAATTTGTCTCAAGCATCGCAGAATGAGTAACTCGGGGAGTTCAAGCATCCTTACCCCGGCGTAATATAGGCACCCTCCGCGTCAACGATCTTGGGCTTTACGGCGTCGGACGAGCTGGCAGATTCCAGATTTCGACCGATGCAGGCAATCTTCCCACCCGATATGCCAATCTCGACCCCCAGGGGAAGAACTTCTGCTGCAGTCACCTGGTCGATACGTCTGATATTAGCAAATACTCAGATGGAATGCACGACTATGATGCACCCTACAATACGCCCATTTCGAATGATGGTCTCTAGATTGTCGGCTTGTCCGATATATTGCCCCATTGTAGGAGTGCCTGACTGGAATATGGGATGAGGATATGGTAAATTGAACGAGTTAGTATCTTGACGTAGAAGAACAACGGCCTTCTGCGTGAGAATTAGAAGCTTTCATTCGAGAGAACGTCGACTCATTACTGATCCAGGCTTGAAAAACCATCTATGAGAGACGTTCCCGTATTTCAAGGGGCAAGTAACCTCAATGCGCCGCCGGGAGTACGAGCACTGATTGCCAGTTGTCTCCGCTTGAACACGGCGAGCGGTCCACGCTTCGGGGGCTAATCGCCTTGACCGCGAAGAGGTCAAACAGTCTTACAGATGATTATGCAGCTTTTTGCGAAGATAGTCCTTATTTTACCCAAGACTGTTATCAATACTTTGTAAAACGATGAAATAAGTCGTGCTGTCGCTGGCTGCTTGCTCACGATAGCGCCGTTGACAAGATCGGGAAGTCCGGAGCATGCCGACACTACTCCACAAAGTCCCCCAAGCGATGCCGCTGCAGCTCATGCAGGAGCAGCTGATGAAGCAGAGCGCTCTCTTATCATCGGAAGGTTCTCGGACTCGTTACCGGATGCTGCCGGTGGGCGCAGGTACATTATGTCTACTGCTCGTCCACGATGATCTTATATATCCGTAAGACCTGATCTTGTATGTCCTCACACCCAGCAGGCCGTTTAACTGCATACGCGAGAGAGATACTGTCAGTCAGATTGTCAGTTATTTTACGTTGAGTTCAATACCCCGGAATTCAATAGTCACAGAAATCAGTCCCATATCCTGTAAGGCACTGCAACAAGAACCATCATGGCTCCGGAACGCGCCCCTCGATTGATCACCGTTGCGGCGGCCCAGCTGGGACCGAATAATTTGGACATGTCACGAGCCGAGATCCTGGACAGGCTGCTCAAGCACATGGATGATGCCGCCGCCCATGGCGTGCGTCTCATCGCTTTTCCGGAGCTGGCGTTGACGACGTTTTTCCCTGTCATACTGATGAGTCCGGAGGATGCCTCCAAGTATTTCGAACCGGCGTCATCATCGGATCCCTATGGAGTGCTAGACACGCCGCACGGGAAGCCGCTCGTCGAGAAGGCGAATGCTCTCGGCATGGACTTCTACCTCGGTTACGCGGAGCGCTGGACAGGCGACGACGGCAAGCAGACGGACTACAATGTCACCTTGTACTACTCCGTCGCGGCCGGAAAGGCCATTGGAAAATACCGCAAGGTCCACCTGCCCGGTACGAAAGAGCCGATCGACGATCCCAAAGCGTATCAGCAGCTGGAGAAGCGATTCTTCACGCCGGGAGACCTAGGATTTCAAGCTTTCAGAGCCCCCGGGCTGATCGACGGAGCCGTGAAGACGGAAGATGTCGGCGGCGCCGCGGATGTCAAAAGCTTCGAAGGAAAGGGGGATCCTATCATCGGGATGCTCATATGCAACGACAGAAGATGGGCCGAGGCCTGGAGGCCATAGTGAGTACCATTCAAGCCTTCACGTGTCGTCTCTTCTACGGCGTTCGAGACCAATGCTGTTTCAGTCCACAGTTCGCTCTCTGCGCACCATTCGTATAAGATTGAAGTCTTTCGAGAATAATACTGACAAGTCGGCACAGTGGCCTGCAAGGAGCCGAGATCGTCATAGAAGGATACAATACGACGGCCTGGGCGCCGCAATATGACGGTACGCCCGAAGAGCAGACCGCGGACGCCGAGTTTCACCATCGGCTATCCTGCCAGGCGGGTAGCTACCAGAACGCCGCGTGGTCTATCAACGCCGCGAAGTGTGGCCAGGAGAACGGGCAATGGATGATCGGGAAGAGCTCCATCATCGATCCGGATGGTAAGATAGTGGTTGAGTCGAAGACGCTGGGGGACGAGCTTCTCGTGGCGACCATAGATCTGACCAAGTGCCGGAAGGGAAAGGAGAGAATATTCAACTTCGAGAAGCACAGGAGGTTGGAACACTATGGCATCATCACGGAACAGGTCGGGGCGAAGGAGATCCCATTTCTAAGCCGAGCCTGAGTGCTCTCGTGCTTCCTGTATGTAAGATTCAATTCAATGGAATGCCGGTAATCGTATCCCACAGACTTGAGCTTAGCACCACGCCAGAGCCTGCACATCAACTCTGTAAGTAGGCATCGTGCGTCGCATACAAGCGCCGGCCGGCTACCTGCTTTCCTTTCACCCCTCGTTCTCGTGTGGCACAT